CCTTCAGTCTGCTGCCATGTTTAAGCTATCCGAGAGCAGTATTGACTTCACAGCTCTAGTTTTCTCAGTAAATGTAATCTGAAACATCTGGAAAATCTGTATACGCTAGTCATGCCGAAGTAATGCTCAGGGGGGTTGTGAGCATGCTTACTGGCACGAGCAATGTTTTGGATCCCTATCCTCAGAATTTGATAGAAAGCAAAATGCGAAAGGACTTGACTTAACCCCACAGCATCCAGAGCAGTGCAGTCAGCGCTCTGCACACTGCAGCGTGCAAGATTTCAGGTTTGGTCACTGAGGACATTTAGGACCTATTGAAGCAAACTTCAAAAATTTGGTTGCAAACAGTTGATTTTATGTAAAACTGATTCTTCTGCAATCCATCCCTACCTGTGTAAGAAAAAGTGCTGTTGTGCAAACTGGTGTGGCAGCAGCAAAGCTAAACTCGATGGCAAAGTTCCCAATAACTAGACTGGAACCAAGATGATTTCAAAGGGGATGCACAGCGTTACTTGTGTTCCTAAGAATGGTCTCTCTTTTCTAAACACAGCGCTAAGAACGGCAGGATTTCGAAACGGCAGTTTGGGAAGCCGGCCTAGTGCTCCTTTTAGAAGCAATGTTTATCAGCCAACTGAGATGGCAGTTGTGCTAAATGGTGGGACTGTAAGTATCAAGATGTGATGATTTAAGAAATCTTTGATATGCACTGATATATGCAACCACTGCTCATTGAAAAACCTGCTTTTAGCTTATTCGCAGCAGGGAGGAAAGCTATAAATGACAATTTGGGCGGCAAGCACGTGTGTAAGGCTTCCCTACCCTCTAGAAAAGATGTAATTACAAAGTATTTTGCATTTCTTGGCCATTCACATTTTGCAGTGCAGCTCGAGTGAACCAAGTTCTCTGGTGAAACTACATATTTAATGGCCTTTTCAAATTAAATTTGTGTTAAGGTGTTTAACATAACTATTGAGTGGCACAATTTCTAACCTGATTTTTTTTCAAGATGCTGTGACTCACACAAATGTCGACAGACCAGCACATTTCTGTTGCAAAGAGTCATTGCTGCAGATAGCGGTGGTCTCTCACATCTTTCATTTTCTTGTAAAACGTGTGTGATTCGTTGCAAGTAAGTTCCAGACGTGTGCATCTCTGGGAAAGCGAGTCATCAATGAGGAATACAGAATAATGTTAATAGCACTGATTTTTCTTTCTTAGACAGTAGTTTGGCCTGCCATTCTTTGAGAGACCTGTTTTTCTGCAGCCTGATGGTTGTAAGGATGGCTTGGTGATCTGATGCCAAACAGACTTTTAAACGTTTCTCACATGATGTGTAATTTGCACTTGAAACCATTTCATGTAGCAGGCATACTGTTGAAAAAGAAGAATTTTCATCCCCATATTTTTCATGCATACCTACACGCTGCTTAAAAACCTGCCCATGAGCCAGTTTATACTCTTGTAAGTTGGGTTTTCTTTATTTTGAATCATGAGCTGATTCCATAACTCAACCTCTACACTTAAAACCAAATAATGCGATCTGATTGCAGGTCGCTTTTTGTCTGTAAGTAAGTAAAGTTTTGGCTGATTCTAGTGAACAAGGGGGACTAGGTACAAGGGTTCCTCTGTGTGGGTAAGACAGTAGGAGACATCAACTTGCAGGGAATGAAAAGGCTTGTGCTATGCTGTCGGTAATGAATAGCATCCTTTCAATGCCTGGATTGATCTATGCCTATGTTTTCTGACACCAGAATGCGCAGTCTACGGAAGAAGGTAGTTTAGGGATGAGAAGCTGCAGAATTTGTTTTGGGTTGGGTTTTTTTGCTTTGTTTTGAGGTGGATACAAAGCTTACTGGAGATCATCAAATAGTAAAATGAGAGATTAATGTGTGTATACAGTCACGGGTTTTACCGAGAGGTGAATGTACTGTGTGGGTGGTGGACCTGTATGACTTTGCTCTGGAAAGCTGTCCTGTACACGTGTGATAACACTAATTTTTGAACAGACTAGATCTCTCAGTTATGGGTTTATTGTCCTTATTTCCAGATACCAACCGCTCCGCCAAGTTACACTGGACGACACCTCTGGTGAAAGGCTGTAGGCTGCAGAGGATAAGAATCCTTGTTGCAGATGTTGTTCCCTGGCAGTGTGTCTTTGAGGGAGGAATCCGTAACAGTACCACAACCAAGCAACAAAACATCCAGGAGCTTTCAAAATCCTACAGAGGATTTTGTCTAAATGCGAACACCATTGAGCTGAACAGATAATTGCAAAAACAAAATTGTAAAGCTGAAGCTGAATCTAACTTAAAATAGAAGTAGGCACACCTGAAGTCGGAAGAGGGGTGTATTCTGAAGTGTAAGATACTCTCTCGTCTGCAAGTAGTGTGCAAGGCAAGCCTGTTCGTGTTGGTTGCCAGTTGCTTGCAAAATACCCTCCTCTCACCTAAACTGAAGTCATGTTGCTGCAAGATTTGCCACTGCAGTGTGAAAACACGCGGGAGTTCTTTCCGTTTCGCTCCTCCCCCCTTCATCTCAGGCATCATGAGAAGTACCATGTTTGCTCCGTTACCTAGCCGCACCGGGCAGCGCGTAGCAGCCTGTAGTCAAGCACTGTCCCGCGGCGGCAGCCAAACCACCGGAGCGCTGTAGGCCGATCGTCTCCCCCTTCCAAAGCTGGTGCAGGAAATGCAGTTCTGGAGGGGTGGAAGGTCTGTGCGTGTTTCACGGGGCAGAGGGACAGAGCGTAGGCCCAGCACAGAGGCAGCTCTCCCCGGCCGCGTGGGATCGATTCCCCGTTATTCCGGCACCCGGTGCGAGCAAAGAGCCACGTGCTCTCACGTCTCCCGCGATGGAACCGCCCCGTGAAACTCTGGAGGGACGTACTTTTGCCAAGACTTAGCTGAGGAGAGGACGTGCCCGAGTTTGCCAGAAGCCTTTGTTGCGACGGCGGGTTAAAGGCAGCCGCCTGCGCTGCCCGGGCCCGGCTGTCCCTGGGGAAGCAGGAGAGCGGTGCGAGCGGGCAGCGGGGGCCGCCTGGCAGGAGGCTCGGCCGCGGTGGGGGCCAGGCCTCCCCTGGAGCCCTGGTCACAGGAGTCGTCCCCTTGACTGCAGTTGTTCGTGCTTTTAAATGTGGTTGTGCGTTTTAGTGCCTAGCTAGTAGAATCTCCGTTCTGGAGGTGGTTTGGTGTTGTTTTGGGTTTTTTTTTAAGGTGGGTTTTTCCCTACTCGCCCCCTCCACTCCACTTTTTTGAGTTGATGTAAGGCAGACTTTCTCAAAGCTTTTTATCTTTGTTTTCTCCCGGTTATTTCAAAGGTTCCCATTGCCCATTGTTTGTGCCATGGTTTCTCATTATGTTTACGCAATCATTCCTTTATTTAACATTTAATACATATCGGACGTTCAAAACATCATTGTATCCTCACTGTTTGGCCAATATTAATCTTAGCTTTCCTCAGTACTGAAAACTAATTGTTTTTACTTGAGGGCATAGGAAACATATAACAATTAAACTTTGCATATGCTGTAATAAAAACACATTTTCAAACTAAAAAAAAATTTACGTACAAGTAACTGAATAGCTTAGTAGCTTCACAGGAAGGAGTTACTTGCTGTATACTGCAAAAGAAAGACAAGCTTTTTATTTTTCAAGAGTCTTCCTGATTCATTATGTACCTCCGTTTCTACTGAATTAGGAACCGAGTCCTGCAGACTTCTACTCCCCCAAGTAGCCCCATGGACACCAGTAGGCCTACATACAGGTACCGAGGCTGCCAGGCCGGTCCCTATGTGTTGCACACGGATAGACCTGTATATATATATGGGAAAAAAAATACTGCCATTCTTGCCATGATCACCTTATAGGGTTTTTTTCCAAGCCTTTCTCTTCCAGAAGCAATGGTTTTCTGTCGTGCATGATAAAGGAGCATGTTGGCTCCCCCCTGCCCTTCCCTCCTCGAGGCAAAGGAAGCATGTGCTTGTTCTAGGGATTGCTTATTTTATTTTGTGGGGAAGTAGATGGCCTTAGTAACCAAGTAGGGTGGGGTGGATATTGCATGCTATCCAGCAACTTAGAAATGCATTTTTGCTTATTTTAAGCAAAGTTTTGATCAAATAAGATAATATTTAAGATGACGATAGTTACCCAGAAGATGCATCATTCGGAACAATTAAAAAACCTATTATCATTTCTTGCCTGCAGAATTTTGCTTTTAAAAAACAATTTAAAAAAACCCTCATAACACTCTATTGTAAAAACATGTAAGATGACCATGGCATAAATGGTAGGACAGCTTTCTCTTTATAACTTTATCATGCTACAACCAAGATTTATGAATTAAAATACACATTTTACAGACCTTGGACAAGATCTGTACAAGAGATAGTTACCTTAAGAAACTTTTTTTTCTTTTTTTTAGATGTGACTGAATTGATAAATAGAGTTCCCAATCCTTTTTTTTTTTGCTGAAGCTGTTTGGGATTTGAGGCCTCGTGCAAAGATACGGCCAGATCTTACAACCTGCTACTCACGTGACTAGTCTCATTGGGTTAGTCATGTGGACCATTCATAAAGTTAAAACTTAGCAGGATTGGGTTTAATTTGTGGTGGTGAAGGTGTGGCAATAGGTTAGGAAGGTCTTTATTTTCCAACTTTATCCAATTAGTATTCTAAGTCACTAGTCTGTGATGTGAAATGCCCCAAATAAAACTGTAATTGAAGAAAGGCACCTTCATGTTAACTTATATTTTGTTACAGTAAACAAATTGTTTACTTTTGCCTTTTATGAAAGTTATCTAGAATGTAGAGCATCTGTGAACAACGTAAGAAGTACGTAAGCACAAGCCTTTCACAGTTCATTTAACTATAATTAGCTTTTATACTATAAAAGCTACTATGTTGTCCTTCGATGGTTATGTGCTCATGGTGTTTCCATGCAGAAAACTGAAATCATAAAGCATCTGAAAAAGCAAGATTTAGAATAACTGGCTCTGGATCAGTGGCTGGGAAAAAAGTTCAAAGCCATACGTTACAGCTCCTGTCCTGCTTTTGAGGAGTTGAGGGTGTTTGGCACCTGCCAGAAAATATGCAGCATCTTCAGAAGAACACTCTCAACACGCCCGGTTGGTTCTATAAACAAGGTAGAAGTAGATGTTTCTGGTTTTAGTCGAAATGCAGGCATCTTGGCTGGCTTTCTTTGAGCCTGATGCCTTGGGTCTAACCAAAGGCCATGGAAAAGGGAGCATTGTAGCTTTTATAAACAACAATTGGACTATTCTACCAACTTCCAGGATTGCAAAGCAGGTGCTTTTTATTAACTGATGAGAGCTAAAGCTCATTTTTGATAGATGATAAATATTTATTAAATGTGGTAATGTGTGTTTTATAACGTACCCGTTTCTCCGCTGACTGTTGCATACTGGTATCTTACTAAGTACATCTCTGAAGGATTTTCAAGACAATCAATGTGTGTGTACCATGATGACTGTACATAAGTATCCAAAACCACAAAGGTTGTAAAGCATGGGCAAATGTTTTATTTTCAAAATGCTGTTCTTAACGAGAATAAAGGCTTTACTATTTACTTACAATTTTTGTGTTAACTTGGTGTTCAAATCCCCCTAAAATCTTTCCACTACAGCAGACAGAGTGCTGCAGGGAGCACTGTCCTGTGATCACGTATCCTGTGATACCAGCTGTGTTAAACTGAAGGGAAGTGGCTCCGGGCGGCTAGGGCCACATTCCCCCACCTTCGGCCACGCTCCCACGTTCTCCCTTGGCTGTGGCACCTATCGACCCCACGGGCGGCCAGTCGAGGAGCTGAGCAGCCATGCTCTTCACACACCACAAGTGATCCTTGCTGGGTTTCCGGTCGGCGCAGCAGTGCCCTGTACTGGCTCAATTGCTAGTGCTTGTGAAAGGAGGGGATGGGGTTATACAGCTGCGGTAGAGGAATGCAGGTGGAGAGTTGTTCTCTCCAAATGGTTTGGTTTTTCCTGATCCGGTGCAACAACCAGCATCACCAACCAGGGAAACCCAAGGGGTGGTACTGGTATCCCAGTGAAGGCAAAGCCTGGGCAGGTGACAGAAGAAACCCACGTTATCATGTGGAACCACAGCAAGAGCTCGGGGGTACCCGTGTTTTATCATGCTTTCCTTCAAAAACTAGACCTTTGCTGGACTTGTATGGAATTAGTAGTAGAACTGCAAATCTCATATTGTGGAAATGATAAAGGCCTGAATAGGGCTATGCTTGACAAGATGGAATTAAGAAAAATAACGAGGGCTCCTTAGTGGGGGTGGGGGGTGGGGGGGGGCGATCTGATTTTTATTCTGTTTGTACCTTATGTAAGTAAGTACACATACACAGGATCGCTGAGAATGCTATCACTGTGATCTTGGTTTTACACTTTCTCAGCACATGTGCTAAGTGATAACAAAAGAGCCTTTGACTGCTTTTTCCCCTGCAGAAATGCAGAGCAACCCCAGCTCTCACTGCCTGCAGAGAAGTGCAGAGGCACAGTGTTTCTGAAAATCAGACTGTTCTGAACAGAGCCTGGATTTGTGTAAATGGCCACAGCTCTGCAGAAGTCAGTGAAGCTACTCCAGCTTATACTAAATTGAAGATTTTTGCCTTAGTTTTAACACTTGCCTACATGGGGTTGTAACCCCATTTATTTCATCCAGTTTTGTCAGAAAAGCTTGCATGAGAGTATTCAGGAACACAAGATAAACACGGACTCAATTTTTTTTTCTTTTTTTGGCTAAATATGCACAATTCCATCTGTTTTAACAGAATTGTGCTCGCTCACACTAGGACTGAATTTTGTCTTGGCATGCTGGGTCCTTACATAACCTCTCTTTGACTTACAACACTGAACATAGGAACACTCTTAGCATTACAGTTTCACACATCAGTACCACCAAGTTGAGTCCATGAGCTTTGTGTTCTGTGATGTTGGTGAGGAAACGAAGATCAAGACGTTGAATGATTTTGTGTATGTTCTTCTGAGCCTTCCGATTTGCTTCCCACTGCAACTATACAAAATACAAGGGTCAATGCTTAACTTCCAGAAACATCCACAGAAACAACATGGTAAACATCCATACTTCCACAGCCAAGCACCCTCCTCTTCAATTAATAAATAAAGAAATAGATGGAAATCCCTCATCCCATCCAAAACACGTACTTTTTCCATGCATGGCATTTTTTTGGTTTAACACAGCTTCAGCACTCAGATACTTGTACGCGGCTCTCTGTGCCATCTGTGGGAGTTGTGCATGTGTAGCGGAGGGCAGAGCTAGTCAGAAGTTATTGGATTGTTCAAAAAAAAAAAATGAAAGCAGCTCTTTGAGGATTTTGCTTTGAAGAATTTTCAATTAAAAGCCAGTGATGAAGTCATACGGTTCACCTAGTACATAAATATATTCTTGTCATTTAGGACAACAAGCAAGGTCAATAAAGAATAGTTTTTCTATGTCTCAGTGGAAAGAAGAATGTTAGCCATGTGATTGCAAAGGGCCTGCCAAATGGGAAAAATTAGTCAAACAAAGAGCACAGGGTTGCCTGCTGGAGTAAACAATTCTAAATGAACAAAAGCTCTACATAAAAGTAAAATGTGCCACCCCCTAGTGAAAGCTGTTTTCAAAGCTCTGTATTCTTTCACAGTGCTGTAAGACAGATTAACCTAATGTTGTTCTTCTGCTGATATAACGGTCTGGTTCCTCAGTGTACTTCTGTGATTTCAGCTGTCATACTCTGTTCTGATTATTTCAGTATTTTACAAACCGCCTTTTAACTCAAAAAGCGAAAAATCTGTTTTTCTACTCCCTACACTTCAGCAGATGCATCTGTACTGTACACATTCCACATCACGCAAGCTTGCGGGGACATTTATATAGAAAAGTTATGCTAGAGGCAAAGAAGGACAAATAAGCCCAAAAAATCCCCTTTTGTACACAGAGTTTCGGGAGAGCTGACTTACCCTTCCGAGGCATGCGACTGAAAACCAGCAAACCAAATCCCCTTGGTACGTACCCAGAACAGCGGGCTGCAGCCGGCCCGGGTGCTGACTTTGGGTGCTCAGCGCGCACCGTCTCAGCTCACAGAGAACGTACAGGAGGAGCGACGCGTGACGAGGAGGAACACAGACAAGACCTAGACACCCAAAATAGGATCTGCCGCGGCAGGGCATGCCCTGTGGGCAGCAATGCCCCGGGCAGCGTGTGCCCAGTGCCGTGCTGCCACAGGGCCCTTCGGGATTTCAGGCCTTGGGTTTGTACAGCTGCTAAGGAGAAAACCAGCGCGGATTAAACATCCCGCGTAACTAGGGATACTAGTTACCATACACAAAATACTGACTGTTGTGTTGAATTTTATCTAATATTCCTTGAGGCTGGTCTTTGCAAATATTCCATGAAAGTTGCAAGAGGTTCAGTTCCCCAGGGCTCACACACTAAAACAAGCAGGGGTTTCAGGTAGCTGCTAGCAGTGCTTTGAGTCAGGAGCATCCACGTCTTCTCATAACCTGTGCTACTAAGCATAACAATCTCACATCACACTGGCCAGGAAGCACAGGTTGTCAGCATGAGTCTGGATTTCAGGCAGTTATTTAAATCGTTTGCGACATACACTTGCTTCCTGTGCAGACAGAAAAGCAAGATGTCCTCAGGATTCAGATAGGATGGAAAGTCGGGGAAAGCAGCTGCCTGCCTAAGTCTTTTCACTAGAAATTTCCATTGGAAAAATGTGATTTTCAGGCTGTGACACCCCAAATTGAACTAATGTCCTTAAAATATTGCGAAATACCTAAGGAAGATGTTTGGTTCCTACATTAGCATAGGTGCCATGAAGTTCAGAACAATTTATACTAGCTGACAGTCCAGCCCATTCCCTTCAGACAGCACGTACCTAGAAGCAATGAACAGTGTGAATGTCAATATGAACAACTAGCTACAAACCATGCCATTCATCTGCTGATGCTTAACCACTTCACTCTTCGGAGGCCTGTCATTCATTCAGTATGGCAAGAGAAAGACCCATTTCTATTCTCAGTTGCATTTTTTTAAAATAACAGATGTTGAACTTTAACAGCACAATTGCCATTTTATAGCGACTCCCCAGTCCCCGTGTGCAGTTAAGCTGGCAGTTTCCTCCCGCTGCAGACCTGTGGTTCTGCTGCAGGGGAGACCATCTCTGCTTCTTTACCGGGATTTCCTGAATGCCGGGGAGAGGCGCCCGGACACACAGACCAACCTGCCCGAGGATGCCAGTCACGCAGTGGCGATCGCAGCTGTGCACCGCTGCCGGTCTCAGGGCACTGCCAAGAAAACCATTCTCACAGCAGGCTGGATTCGGCCCCCATGACAATCGTAAACACCTGAACTCCCAAGATGTTTGTGTGGCAGAGTGTGTGCAAATTACCTACAGAGAATGCAAAATCACTCATTCAAGGAGGTGCAACACAGGACCTAAACAGAAGTCACACGGCCACGGTCATTGGTGGCACGATGACAGGATTCCATACAGTTTTACGTCCTAAGACAGAACAAGCGAGGCCCTTAAGTGCTGTGGCAGTGTTAAGATAAAAACCCCAGGCCTCACGAATCATTTATTTCCAGTATCACAGTTTGCATCTGTGTAGGTCTTACGGTTTCTGCTGTCAGGACAGTAGGATTTGGTAGCACTGCGTTTCAGTCTTACTTCTCTTGGTTTTTACTGCAGAGTGAAACCTGGTTAAACCATGCTTTAGGCCCTGCACGTTCTAAAGCACGAGACACTATAGCCATCGCTACAATCATAAGCACTGGGGGAGACTGAGATTAATTTCCTTGGAAGTGAGGTGGGGGTTGCTCTGAGGAGGTCAGCACAACTGCAAACCGTTATTTTTGCCTTGCTGCTCCGTTACTTCGTCTGCCACGTTCCTCGGCAGAGCAGCTCGTCTGAGGCAGTTCATCGTGGACGTGTTGCGACGCTGAGGCAGAGGGGATGGCTAAAGGCTGCGCTGGCTTTCCGTGTATTTGCATTTACTGTTTTGGCAGGTCCTGGGAGTGGAATACTCAAAAATCTGCAAAACTCCTATCTTTGCAGACATCTGAGATTGGCCTTTGTCCTGTTCGTATATGCATTAAGTTCAAACATTGATTTTGGATAACAGAGGCAATTTGCCCTCACCTCAATGTACTAAGATGAAACCAGGACTGACGTTCTGGTTTGAGACTTGGTTGTTTCAGCGTAACAGGGAACCAACGATGACCTACTTTATACACTACAGTGTAATACCAGTGGTCTGTGACAGTAGCTTATGAAAGGTTTATACACCCACACTGTTTTGTTTAAATCATAAGAACTATGAGTATTACATTTAGTAATTTAAACAGTTGAAAACAGTAATGAAAAATACCATAGACCCAGACTATAAGATGAAAATCCATTAAAGAAAATCTATTGGAATAACTTATTAGCAGGGGCTTAGAGTAAAATATATATAGAGAAAGGAGTTTCAGCCTAGCCTCCCAATGAAATGCCAAAGAAGCCTGAACATGAAATTGGAGCCACCAGCAATCTGTCTGAAATAAGACCTGACTTTTTAAAGAGACAGTTCCTTATAAAGTGTGTGTAATTTTAGTCTCTTACTGTTGGAAGTCAACATGTAGGCAATTATTAGTGAAACCTTTCACTTCAGGAAATCTTCAGGCACTAGTGAGAGGAAAATGAGAAAAGATATGTTAAACAAAAAAACCCCCACGGAAATTATGACCATAGACGTGCCTGCTACTCATTAGTCTGAAATGGAACTGCCAGAGGATCCCTCATCTGCAGAGGCTTCTGCAAAATGGATATACAGAAGTGACAGGAAAAACCCAATTCTCCATCAGCAACAGAGTTTCTAAAATGCTTAATCTTGCCTCCATGACTTCAGAGAACAAACAATTTCAGGACCTTTTTAAATTAATTTTGGACTAGATTAGTGAAGCAAGAGCTGCCCTACAGGAGACTCCCAACCACCATCAACGAGTAGTGGAGATGGGCGAAAAAAGGGCTAAAAGATCTCGAGCAGAATTTGTGTAATGCACCATGCTTTCCTAATATTTTGACAGAAAGATTAAGAATTCATTTGGATACATCTGGACGGCATTTTTACAATTCAAGGTGTAGAAAGAGAAAAGAAAAATTGGCAGACGCACATTAGACTGGATGAAGAACTGACACAAACACCTGAGTTTTGGAGAGAACGAGCTACACAGAATTAGATACAGTGGAGGCTGTATTGCTCCTGGTTATACAGGTGTCCTCCCAGGCCTTCAGTGCCCGCAGGCTGATGAAGAGACAGCCACAGGAACACGGCACTGCATGATGAAGAGACTGGACTGAGAGAAAAATCCGGAATGAAGGCAACCGGCGCATCTTCAGTCCATTTGATTAATGCGTTTTTCCCCCATGTAAATAGTCGAGATAGAAAGTGGTGAAAATAGAAAGAACTGAATAGAAATGGAGAGAAATCATTCCAGAGAGGTAGGTCACCAGCAAAAAGCATTTTGGGATTTACAGGCAGAAGCCAACATGGGCAGAAAACCGGAATGTCAGATTTGCTGGGCAGCTTCACGAAAACTGTATTTACACTCCTTAGCCTCTCTTTTCAGAAATGTTTCCTACTTGCAAAATGTGATAGGTTCTGTAAAGTCACCAAATTCAAACTCTTGCACAGACTGGAACAAATGATCAGGTAAAAAAACCCCACCAAAGCCCAGCACAGTCCCATCAAAAAAGACATTGCAGTGACTAATAGCATCGTCTGGGTTTAAAGGGAAGTCTGGGACAAGTGGCTCGAATGTTCCCCAATCTGGCACCCACTTCTTCGCAAATCTCCAAAGCAGATTTTAAGATTCCACTAACAATCCATGGTCTTTCTTTCCCTGCCCTCCACACCCCCAATTTTCTTTATACGAAAAGAATCTCAAACGTAGTTTTGCTGCAGGACTATTTGCAGGTTTTACTTTTTAACTGACAACAGCCTTTCCCCAGGCTTTAACACATCAGATAGTTATAAATAGAAAGTTTGGGTTTGCGTATCTAAATGAGTAACAAACAAACACCAACAGAATTTTCAATAATGCTCCCATTTTTTCACTATTACCTTGAAAAAGGTTAAAAGAAGAAAAAGGAAAGAAAAAGACTGCAAAACCAACGGAGAATGTCTCCTCTCCTTTAAAAAAGAAAAACAAGCAAAAAAGAAAATTATGTTTATACAATCACAGAAAAATCACCAAACCGGAACTGTCTTTTTTCCATTACAAACCATTATTAACTGCAGAGTGACGGGTCAGTCTACAGCTCTGGCGCTGGAGGCCTGGTTCAGACCTGGGCTCGCAGGCAGACTGCTGTGCCTGTGCAAGCGCCGTTCAGAAGATCACGTATTTTGTAGCTTATCTAAATGATCATCTTTCCTTATTTCCCCCCCCCCCCAACATTCCCAACGTAGCTTCAGAAATTAAATGTTGCTGCAATCTTTATAACTTTTCAAAGACCTCCGAGTCTGGGGTGTGGACCAAGAAAGTGGAATCTGCATCATGAGTCTTATGACTTTTATCACTACATTCCCAGCTGTTACTGCCAAGATTAAACTTCCAGAAACATCTCAAGCATCTTGAATCGGGCTTGATGAAAACCACCACATACTCAGCTATCGGCACTGCTTTCTTCTTGGATTTTCTTTTTTTTTTTTTTCACTTTAAAAAACCACAAATTTTAAGGTCTTTGGTGTAACTGAAACCTTTGTGCTTTAAATCAAAAGCAATCACATGTATTTTAACCATTTAAAACCATTTTGCCTGCAGAACTTTTCAGAAAGAAACCACCGAGTACCTGTAGAAACAGTAATGTTTGGGGGTAAAAAAAAAAATATGGAGCCAAATTCTTTAATTCTTTTAATTGTAGTGCCCTACTGACAGCAAGTGGGCTACCACTTTTAACTTTTTTATACGGCTCAGGTTGAAACAAAATCATTTGAGGAAATACCTTCAACATGTCAGATCTTAACATTTATGTGTGTATGTTCTATAATATAACAGATACATGAAAAGTGTAAAACCATAGAATATGGGGAGCTCACCACTTAGAAGACCTCCATAATGAGATGACTTCAAGAATTACAGCTACAGTAAAAGGAGGGCAGATGAAACTAGAAGCAAATAATTTTGTTTAAAACCTTCCAAAAACACAACTACATTTCAACCACCCTTGGTGAAAGTGGGGGAAAAAAAAGAAAAACTCTCACATAAAACTGATTAATTCCTTACAGTTTACTGAGCTGAATTTTCCTAAAAAAACCACAAAGGTGCAGTCTGTAAGAAATCCATTAGCTATTCAGATGATATCTTTTCCTAATCTAGCATTACTACCTACAGTACATTGTAAATATTTTTTTAAGCCTAGTGTAAAACATCCCATTTGTATATATATATCTATCTCCCATTTTCAGTGTTTTCCTTGGGAAACGACTCACCCTGCAAACATGCATACTCCTGTAACCTCATTTATGGCCCCATTAATAAGGATCCATTAGAGCGCATGCCTATACTCATGTTTGTTTGTTTATGGAATGAATTTCAGGAACTTTCACAGCATAGCCCTTTTTTTCCTGAGTACTCAATTTAACACGTTTCTCCGGTTCATGCTGCTTTGATGTGACACGATGATTTACTTTGATATGATAACATACAGCCATCCTTCAACTGTATGCAGACAGTTCCCTGTTGCACTTAACTTGCCAAGGACACTCCCGGTTCATGCTGCTTTGATGTGACACGATGATTTACTTTGATATGATAACATACAGCCATCCTTCAACTGTATGCAGACTCGGCTTCCCCTGTTGCACTTAACTTGCCGAGGACACTCAGCTGTCAAATCCTTCCTCCTAATTCAGGCGGAGACACATTAGAGCTGCACAAGGAGGGACTGACTGCACTTCCTTGCTCCTTGACAGCAGGCATCTCTGTCTGCTCTAGCGCTCCTAAAACGTGCAGCCTGTCCTCCCCTTTATCTGCAGCCTCATTCAGATTTTCAGGGATTTGCCAGTGACAGGACACCTTTTGAGTTCCTCAGCATGTTGCTGGTTGCATCTTCCTAAGGGAAAAGATTTCTTTCTGTGAAAGAAGTATTTTTAAAATCTCTCCGTATAGGTGAGTAATAACTTCTATTGCCGAAGGAGAAATACAGCTTCAAACTTGAATGGCATTTCAGAGGAATATTATCTCCTGTATCTGGAAATCAACCCCCCACCTGCTGTGAAGATTACTTTCTGTCTCGGTTTGGTCTAACTGCATTTTCCACACACTGCACTGACAGTTACGGAAGTACCTTGCAAAGCCAAGGCTGTGGTTGATCTGTAAGAAATGCTAGCTAGTAGGGTCACAGCTGGTTTGGCCGTAAGACTAGGAATATTTATTTCCTTTATTATTTTCCCTAAGAACAATGCTTTTTAAAATTAAAATTTTCCGCAGGTAAGAAGAAGAAAAGAAGATCGCTAGGCAATA